AACACAGAAAAAAAACATTGTTACAACACCAAAACAGATAGTGAAAGAAAAACTTTTCAAAGAAAACCGCGTATTTCTGAAAAATGTGCCACTAAATCATTCATTTATAATGGCAAAAAGTCCCCTTGTGCACTCTTCAAACGAGTGAACCACATATATTGGTGATTATGGTGATATGAGTGAAAAATCGGGATCCCCCAATGGCTGGATTTCCCCCTCACCTTATTGCAGCAACCCAAAGCACCAATGAGCCTTCAGATTGCCAGGTGTATTAATGCGACCCATCCACATCAATGATTCAGGTTAAGCAGTAATAGTGGTATCCCCCTTTACATGCAGCACTGAGAATGACCCATCCAGATATCCAAGCTTCTCCCAGCAACAGGATGTATAACTCAGCCAGCTCATATATGGATTGAAAACAAGAAGAAACTCCCATAGTGTAATATTGTATGTTTAATACCACAAGAGTAAACCAGCAAGTAGCACACTCACATTTGCATGTTCTAAATCAAGCTTACAGAGCCTCATGTATTGCATCCCATAATGGCCCCCCAGTCTTAGTCCGTAGGGTTCAATATTGAGTTGGCCCCGCCCTTTGCAGCTATAATAGCTTCAACTCTTCTAGAAAGGCCGTCCCACAAGGTTTAGGAGGGTGTCTATGGGAAGGTTTGACTATTCTTCCAGAAGGACATTTGTCAGGTCAGGCACTGATGTCGGGGGAGGAGGCCTGGCTCACAGTCTCAGCTCTAATTCATCCCAAAGGTGTTCCTCACAGGTTGAGGTCAGGACTCTGTGCAGGCCAGTCAACTTACTCCACCCTAAACTGGCTCCTCCATGTCTTTATGGACCTTGCTTTGTGCATTGATGCACAGTCATGTTGGAACAGGAAGGGGCCATCCCCAAAACTCTTCCCACAAAGTTGGGAGCATGGAATTTTCCAAAATGTCTTGGTATGTTGGCGCCTTAAAAGTTCCTTTCACTGAAACTAGGGGGCCAAGCCCAACCCCTGAAAAACAACCCCACACCATAATCCCCCCTCCACCAAACAAACTTGGCACAATTAAGTCAGGCAAGTGCTGTTCTCCTGGCAACTTCCATACCCAGAGACATCTATCAGATTGCCAGAGAAGCGTGATTTTTCACTCCAGAGAAACATGTCTCCACTGCTCTAGAGTCCAGCTTGGTGGCGTGCTTTACACCACTGCATCCAACGCTTTGCATTGCACTTGGTGATGTAAGGCTTGGATGCAGCTGCTCGGCCATGGAAAACAATTCCATGAAGCTCTCTACGCACTGTTGTTGTGCTAACCTGAAGGCCACAAAAAGTTTGGAGGTCTTTAGTTATTGACTCTGCAGACAGTTGGCGACTTCTGCACTTTGTGCTCTTCAGCATGCGCTGACCCCGCCCTGTCATGTGACGTGGCCTACCACTTGGTGGCTGAGTCGCTGTTGTTCCCAGTTGCTTCCACTTTGTTATATTCCCACTAACAGTTGAGTGTGGAATATTTAGTAGCCAGGAAATGTCACGGATAGACTTATTGCACAGGTGGCCACCTATCACGGGACCACGCTTGAATTGAATTCACTGAGCTCCTTAGAGTGACGAAATTCTTTCACAAATCTCTTAGATTGTAAGCTCTAAGGAGCAGGGCCCTGCTAAACCCTACAGTATTGAACTGTAACATTGCTGTATTGTCTCCCTTTATATTGTAAAGCGCTAAGGAAACTGTCTGCTCTATATAAATACTGTATAATAATAATTCACAAATGTTTGTAGAAACAGTCTGCATGCCTAGGTGTTTGATTTTATACACCTGTGGCCATGGAGGGTGATTGAATCCAATGATTTGGAGGGGTCAGGGGCGGACTGACCATTTGGAAACTATGGGAACTGCCTGAGGGCCTGGGGTCAGTAGGGGGCCCCATGAGATGCCCCTGGTACCTTTTACATAGGAGGGGTGTTCCAATAGTGTGTGTGTGTGTTTACATACACTGCTAAAAACAGGGAAAACTTTTTTAATCAGAGTATAGCCTCAAGTCATTTAAACTCCTGGGATATTGATCTGGTCAGTTAAGTAGCAGAGGGGGTTGTTAATCAGTTTCAGCTGCTTTTGTGATAATGAAATTAACAACAGGTGCTCTAGATGGGCAACAATGAGGCGATCCCTAAAACAGAAATGGTTTTACAGGTGGAGGCCACTGACATCTTTTCTGACTATTTGTCACTAGTTTTGCATTTGGCTAGGGTCAGTGTCACTACTGACATGAGGACATAGCATGAAGCAATACCTGGCCCCTACAGAGGTTGCAAAGGCAGTCCAACTCCTCCAGGATGGCAGATCAGTATCTCCCAGAAAAGCCTGCATTTTTTCTCACAAATTCTCCATCAGCACTAGGACTCAAGAAACCTCCTATAAATTGTTAACAAGATGGTATGCTACACCGGGTAGGTTAAATAGGTGGTTCCCCCAGACGTCAGGCCTATGTTGGTGCTGTGAATCAGCCGAGGACTCCCTGTTAGACATTTGGTGGCAATGCCCAAGGCTTATGCCATTGCGGGACAACATTTGCGGTTGACATACTCTATTACTGAGATGTAATTACCCTTAACCCCCGAATGTTGTCTCCTCCATATCTCTGAGTGCTCTTTGAAGTTGTATAAGCAATCTTTGGTTTGGCACCTTTTGAATGTGGCCAAGTCCCTAATCCCCAGGCATTGGAAGACCTCTCATGCCCCCTCGATTCTGATTGGATAAGAGAGGTTAACGTCATTCAGGAGTTGGAAAAGACATTGACTATGACCGATGACATGGTTGCCAGATGCCATAAACTATGGTCCAATTGGTATGCTTTCACTTTCTCAGAAACATATAGAGGGCCAATGGGTGATTAACACTTTTCTACTCTTCGATGTGCATATCATGCTGGTGGATACTGGACTCCGCTTGAGGAATTAGATCTGTTCTTATGACTGCTGTTCTCTTTCTTTCTCTACTAAATCTCCTTCCTCTATTCATGCACGTTATGTCAGATTTGATGTTTGTACTTGCAATTTAAAAACGTTTAAATCTGTGAATGCCTCATGTAGAACATTGATCTGATTGTACTATCAAGTTTTTCCAGAAGCCAACATTTGTTACTGTGTACTACATGACTTTATAACAAGCAAAGCTTTTTTGTAGTTCATTGATGTTTATATGTTCTGCTTTCTATGAATAAAAATTATTTGTTTAAAAAAATAAAAAAATACTCCACCCATAATCCCCATGTAGAAAAAAATATAGTCTCTTATTCTCATCAGAAAGGGAATAAATGTTTTCCTAGGCATGCATTGCCAAAATATTTCACCCATTTCTGAAAAGATTATGGGCATAATTATTTTTCTACATGGGGATTATGGGTGGATGGTTGCAGATACACATGTCAACACCCATATTTGACATGTTTCTCCTAAGAATATGGATATAGTTATTTTTCTATATGGGGATTATGGGTGGAATCACATATCTGGCTATAGACGTCTCACCCTCTTACCCATGAGCCTGTTTTTAAATTCTAAGATGTGAGTTACTGTTTATCTTTCTATTAAATACCTTCAGAGTTACACACTTAGAGGTTCCACGTTTCTTGGTTTCCCTTCTGCAGTTATGCTTCGCTCCTACACAGCTTGCCCTTAGTGCCTACTGGACTACCCTTACCCCTGCCCATTTGGAACTCATCAAACATAAATGGACTGCCACACCATGTGCCTGTTATCCCTTTTGCAAATGTGTTCTGGCATGTTTACCATGATATTCCACCCATAATCCTCATATAGAAAAATAATTATGCTCATAACCTTTTCAGAAATAGGTCAAACATGGTTCTTGACATGTATCCATCATAATCCACCCATAATCCCCATGTAGAAAAATAACTATTCTCATAACGAATGTGAATATTTAGAAACTTAAACATTCTTTTCATTGTATGTATTTATTTGGCAGTGTTAGGAGTTATTTTTATCAATCATTTCACCTTTCATCAATATTCTAGCTGTGAGATCTGTAACAGCTGCAAGTCTTTAATAGATCTGATATTGAAAGGATTCAGTAACCAGAAACCATTTGTACACATCGATGACTAATCGATAAATCTGCTTGGAATGAAAGTGTTGATGATTGTTCGCCGATAAATGTTTCATCTGATGATCTCTTTAGTTCTCCGGCTCGGATTTGGCGCTATATAATTCCGGCGGCAGAATTTGGCATCTGAGCCAATCACAGCTGTGGGCGTTGTCTCCATCGACCAGTAATTTTCTTACGCGTAAGAAAAATAAATTATTCATAGTGCTGGAAATTCAACAAAATGCATAATCTGAGAACTCCATTTTGTCGGGTTTTGAGCACAAAAAAAAAAAAATTTCACATGAATATCTGCAATGCTCGGAATGAATGGAAGGATTGATCGATCTTCCCGGATATAACGGTCAATGGATGCAGATTGTCTGTAACGGTCCATAGAACTCCGGCGGGCAATGGGAATTTATTATACAATTGAAGCAATAAATTTTAATCATATAGACAAAAAAAAATTGAGGGGAAGTTATCTGATCAGGATTTATAATCATTATCTTTTAGAATTCAGATTTGAAAACCGGTTATCAGCTACAAATAACCCGCCCAATCCCGGGGCGCCGAGAGATCACTTTGTCCCCAGAAAGTTCAACATAGAAATCCTTCCCGGCGTCCAAACTCTTCCTATGGAGAAGCAGAGATGACACCCGGATGTAGAGGAGACTTACTGTCCGGACGGCGGGAAGGATTTCCACCTTTTTAAAATCGTCATTTTCTCCTCCACCCCCCCCAAAAAAAAAAAAATCTTATAGAAGCGGGAGATAGAGAGGAGTGTGGGATTGGTGTCCATAGAAGCCGTATGTCCGCCCTTTGTATGGAGATGTGGGGGGGCTCTGAGAAGAGCCGTTGTGTTGGCGGATAGAAGGGAATCCTGTGGGGGGATTACTTGCTCTTGGCGGCCTTGTGGCTCTCGGTCTTCTTGGGCAGCAGCACGGCCTGGATGTTGGGCAGGACTCCTCCCTGGGCGATGGTGACGCCGCCCAGCAGCTTGTTGAGCTCCTCGTCGTTGCGGACAGCCAGCTGGAGGTGTCGGGGGATGATGCGGGTCTTCTTGTTGTCTCGGGCGGCGTTGCCGGCCAGCTCCAGGATCTCAGCCGTCAGATACTCCAGGACGGCGGCCAGATAGACGGGAGCTCCGGCCCCGACCCGCTCGGCATAGTTGCCCTTCCGGAGCAGACGGTGAAACACGACCGACGGGGAACTGCAGACCGGCCCGGGACGATCGGGTCTTGGCCTTAGCCCGAGCCTTGCCTCCTTGTTTGCCGCGACCAGACATGATTGGATGACTGACGAATCACACACAGATAGGACCCAGCAGCCGCTTCCTCTCCTTTATACACTCCATGCTCTGACGTCACACGCGGAGATTGGTTGCTTTTCAATACAGCCAATAGCATTCAGACTTGTTTCTACACCAATCTGTAACTTAGAAAAGAAAGCGTGACGTCACTCTCCCTCACCTGACCGAGTCCTCCAATAGAAGAGTTAGGTGGGATGAGACTCATTTGCATAGGCCGGCTATAAAAGCAGCACATGAGAGCGGCTCCAGCACACTTTCCCCGCAGCCAGCCAGGCAGTGGTGAACCCTTGGCGTGCCTTATCGCTTCTCGGCCTTTTGGCTAGATTGGGCCTGTCCGTGGTTTGATCTACTGCTGAGAGGGCTGCCGGGGGCCCCCCTTTTTGGGGGTACCCTTCGGGTGTTACCTTTTTGGAGAGAGACACGTCTTGTGTCTGGACATCATGGCGGCTCGTGGACTACGGGACTCTCTACGCTTTACGGTGAAGCCGGGTCATAAAGAAGGGATTGACTTGAGGTCGGTGGTGGAGACAATTCTTTTCTCTGATCATTGCTTGCTGACCTGTTCCTTGGATTTGGAAGGTGGGGTGAGGTTTGGGAGAGGAGTATGGAAATTGAACAGTGCCTTGTTGGAGGAGAAGGGGATCTGTGAGGAATTTGAAGTCTTATTTGAGAGGATGGTGTGGAGGAAATGTGACTATAAGAATATCTTACTTTGGTGGGATTGGGTGAAGACGCAGATCAGGGTTTTTTTTTGGGAGGAAGGGGAGGGAACGTGCCAAAAAAAGGAAGGAGGAGGAAGATCGGATTCTGATGAAGTTGCATTTCTTATTTAGATGTAAAAGGTTGGGGTTGGAGGTGGATGAGGAAATTAAGGAGGTGCGGGAAATACGGAATATGCTGCTAAGAGAACGGGGCACAGGGATCATATTCAGGGCTAAGGTGGAACATGCTGAAAAAGGGGAGAGTTGCACGAGATTCTTCTTTAAAAAGGCCTTTGGATCTAAGGGGGCGATTTGCTCGGTACTGGATGGGAAGGAGGAGGTGCAGGGGGAAAGGATGGAGGAGGTGGTTACTAATTTTTATGCTGATTTGTACAGTGGGGGGAGGGGAGGATCCGAGGTGGAGGTGGCTGACTACTGTGGTGTCTTGGAAGGTGGGTTGGCCAAGGAGGATGGTGACTGGCTTGTAGATCCTATTTCGGAGAAGGAGGTGGAAAAGGCTCTGGATGGCATGAGGAAAAATAAGACTCCTGGAGGGGATGGGATCCCTGCTGAGTTCTATCTGCAATTCTGGAAAACATTAAAAAACATATTGTGGAAATAATAGGATACTGTATGGTAAATAAGGAATTGTCTCCAACTATGAAGGAGGGGGTGATCACTATGATTTATAAGAAAAAAGGGGATCGGAGGGAGATGCAGAACTGGAGACCTATCACGTTGCTTAATAGTGACTACAAATTGTTGGCTAAAGTGATTGCTGGGAGGATGAGTAGTGTGATAGATAAGATGGTGGAGGAGGGGCAGACTTGTGCCGTGCCGGGACGAAGAATTACAGATAATTTAATTTTATTGCGTGATCTGATTTATTATACCCAGAGCAGGAACATGCCTTTAGCAGTTGCGGGGTTCGATCTGGAGAAGGCTTATGATCGGGTGTCACACCCCTTTCTGTTTGCTGTCTTGAGACATATGGGGATGCCAGAGGATTTTGTGGGAATGGTAAAGTGTTTATACAGTGGGATTTGCAGTAGAGTTGTGGTCAATGGTCATCTGACGAATCCGGTGAGAATAAATTCTGGAGTAAGACAGGGGTGTCCACTTTCTCCCCTCTTGTTTATCTGTGTCATGGAGCCTCTATTGCGGCATGTGAGGAAGGACAAGGCCTTTAAAGGGATTTTTGTCCCAGGGTGTGACATGGAGCATGTCAAAGCCTTGGGGTACATGGATGATACCATCTTTCTCTGTAGTTCTGGAAGAGATCTGAGGAGAGTGGAGCTACAGCTGAGCATCTTTGGAGGGATTTCTGGTCTGAAAGTGAATTGGGAGAAAAGTAAGGTGTGTGTTTTAAGTGGATCTTGTGATGTGGCGGGAGGGAAGGTGGAGGAAGTAGAACAAATTAAGGTGTTGGGGGTACTTTTTTCCAGGTGCTTGACGGACCAGAGGAACGCGGAGGAAGGGGTGGCAAGGATGCAAAAGATATTGGATTTTTGGAGATTAAGGAGGTTGTCTTTGACAGGGAAGACCCTGGTGGTTAAGGCAGTGATCCTCCCGCTGCTGGTGTATTTTGGGGTCATTCTGGCTCCTAATAAAAGTTTGGTCCAAAAGATGAAGAGGTTGATGTTTGTCTTTTTCTGGGGGGCCAAAATGGAGAGACTCTCCAGGGAGACTGTTACGAAGTCAATGGAGTTGGGTGGGCATGACTTTCCTGATTTGGAGCAATTTTTAAAAGTACAGTGGTGGTTGACCCACTACAAAGCTTTTGTTGGTGGAGGGAAGGTGGCTGGCCTGATGAGGTTCTTGATTGGTTGGACAACTGTAAAATGGGGGTGGTGTGGTCAGGATCTAAAGAAACCATGGTCATTGGTATCGCCTGCATATTATTTGGGGATGAAGGCGTTTTATGAGAAGAATGAGTTGGGGCAGCTTGGGTCTGGAGCAGTCAAGAAGGAGGTACTGTGGAAATGGTTGAGGAGAGGGGAGCTGGTGACGAACATCAGTGGTTTGAGTACCAAGTTGGCAGAGACTTGCTGGAAGAACTTGGCCTTTAAAGGTGTGACCAATAGGCAAAAAGAGATCGTATGGCTGACCTTCAGAAACGCCAAGGTGAGCAAGCGATTATGTAAGGCCCGGGATCTTGTGCGGAGTAACAGGTGCCCGAGAGAGGGATGTGGAGGTGGGGAGACGGAGCGGCATGTTTTTTGGGAATGTGGGTTTGTCTAAGAGATATGGAGACAGCTGGAGGACTTTGTGCGGAGAGTGGTGGGGGTGAAGAGGCTCACTTTTGAATCTGGTGTTTTGGGGCTGGCGGATGGTGATGGTAATGTAAGGAGGAAAATGTATGTAGTATCTGCCGTGGTTAAAGAAGTGGTGTGGGAAGCACGTTGTGCAGTGTATAGGAGGAAGGTGGTGTTGTCAGCCAGGCACCACCTCATACACTCATCTTCTAAGTTGTGTGATGTGTTGGTTCTGGAAAGGGGGGGGGAGGGGGAGGCTGATGGGTTGTGGAGGGTGGGGGAGTGGAGGGGGGGGGGGGGTTTGATGTGGTGAGTGTTTTTGTTGTGTTTTTTTTTATACCTTTTTATGATATGTACTTTTGCCTGCAATGATGCAAGGAACACAAACCAGTGGATAACAGTATGATGCTGGGGGAGGTGATTCAGTCTGAGAGGCAAGAAAAAAAAAAAATGCCTGAACCAGCCAAGTCTGCGCCGGCGGCCAAGAAGGGCTCCAAGAAAGCTGTGACCAAGAGCCAGAAGAAGGACGGCAAGAAGCGGAGGAAGACTAGGAAGGAGAGTTATGCCATCTACGTGTACAAGGTGCTCAAGCAGGTCCACCCCGACACCGGCATCTCGTCCAAGGCCATGAGCATCATGAACTCCTTCGTCAATGACATCTTCGAGCGCATCGCCGGCGAAGCTTCCCGCCTGGCTCATTACAACAAGCGCTCCACCATCACCTCCCGGGAGATCCAGACCGCCGTCCGCCTCCTCCTCCTCCTGCCCGGAGAGCTGGCCAAGCACGCCGTCTCCGAGGGCACCAAGGCCGTCACCAAGTACACCAGCGCCAAGTAATCCCCCCCCGCCCCCCGGGGCCCCATCATCCCAACAAGGACACAAAGGCTCTTCTAAGAGCCGCCCACCATTCCAATCACTGAGCTGTCATCACATTGTATTGCCGCTAGAGGTCCCACACACGTCACACTTACACTGGACATTCGTCATTCTGTAGTACAAGGGCCTCCCTCATTGGATACACATTGGAGGGGGCACCTGGTTTGGGGGAATCTACAGGAATGTTGTAGAATGTATGGCCGGCCTTCCATGGGTCATGACATCGGTCATTGTTGTACAATCTGATTGGAAGGTATAAATCTGAAGATTTAACATCAGGGTTTAAACGAATTTTCCGCAACAGGGGCTCAAGGGATAGGACAAACAAAAGTGGGGAGAGGGGGCATCCCTGATGTGTGCCGTTCCGTAAATGAAAGCAGTTTGACAGATGGCCGTTCACCCGGACCCGGGCAGTAGGGGCAGAATAGAGGACCATGATAAAGTTGAGCATCTTCTCACCCAAACCCAGTGCCACCAAAGACGCGTTCAAGTAATCCCAGGCAATCCTGTCAAAGGCCTTTTCTGCATCCAAGGAGAGGAAAAAAACCCGGCGTGTTAGACCTGCGAAGCCAGTGATGGAGATTAAGGGCCTTGATAGTGTTGTCGCTTGCTTCTCTACCAGGGATAAATCCTGCTTGGTCCAAATCGACCATGGAGGGAAGTGAGGGAAGAAGACGATTAGCAATGATCTTCGCGAATAGTTTTGACATCCACGTTCAGCAAGGAAATGGGTCTATAATTGGAAACCTGGGTGTTGTCCTTCCCGTCTTTGGGGATAACTGTAATGTGAGCCTCCAACAGGTGGTTAGGCGGCCCTGAAGGTTGAGCAAGAGTGTTAAAAGCAGCAAGAAATGGAGTACCCAGTATATCTAAAAATGATTTATAATAGGCTACTGAAAAACCATCAGGGCCCGGGCTCTTCCCCGGTTTCATCTGTTTCACTGCAGATTGCAGTTCAAGTAGGGTGAGATCATTTTCCATAGCGTGTACCAGATCCTCGGAGAGGGCGGGTGAAACCGTAGAGATGGAGAAATTCAGAGATCAAGGAAGTTCTAGATTTGTCCGAGTGTATGGGGGGACGTTCCGGAGGGAGGTTGTACAAAGATTTATAGTAGCGTTCAAAATAGGCGGCAATATCGGGGTTAGATGTAGCCTC